AATCAGTAGTTTTGATCCTAATTTCATATATGCAAATATTTCTTTAAAATAGTTTATAATTTCAATTTCATGATTTAAGAGGAATTAGTAAAATGATGAAGAAATTGAATTGGATTCAAAATTATGGAAGGAAATTGGGTTCTAAACATGAAATGGGTTACTTGCATGTTTGTGGTTATTGAAATAATTGTAAAAATTCTCCAAATTGAGCATAGGTTTGGAAACTTTGGTATATATGAAATGTATATTTGCATGCACCATGAGTTTTGAAAGGATTTGAGCCATACAAGTTTATTATGCATTTGATTTTGAAGAAAATATTTTGAAAACATTGAGTTCAAAAAAAAAAAAGGGTTAATCATGGAGTTAATTGAGGTTTTGATTTTGTTTTGAAACCTAAAAATTGGTTTGATTTTAATTTCTAATCCATGCATGTAATGTAATTTAAGAGTTTTATTTAATTTAAACATGTTATTGAATATATTAAATTAGTTAGTTTTATTGGAATTACATATATGCAATGTTTGCTAGGAAAAATTGACAAGAAAATGAAGAATTGGAGCCAAGATCAAGTTTATGAAGTTAAATAAGAAATTAATTACTTTGGGTTTGATTTTGGAATATCATGCATGAATTGAGTCTAATTTCTACATGCATGGATAAATTCTGTAAGTTTTAATATTCTAATTGTACATGCATCATGGATTTCTAATAATTGATCTCATGTTTTGATAAAATAAGAATTAAGCTTTGGAAATTTATGGGTTTATGAACAATGAGCTTAATTTATAAATTAAAGGAGTTTTGATATAAATGATTTAAAATTGATCATATTTTCTTGATTATTTAAGAGTTTGTATGTTTTAGACAAGCCATGTATGAACCCAAGTTTTGAAGTTATTTTGAAAGCTCAAATCAAGTTTAGAATTTGTGAGTTTGGAATTGGGCTTGATATGAAAAACATGAACTAAGTTGAATTTGATGAATTTGAAATTTGTGTGTACATGCATGTAAAGGATTGTCATGGGTTTGCATATTTGAGTACAAACATGCATGTATATTTCAAATGACATGGAAATTAATTTGCATGAGCTTTGAAGTTATGAAGTGAGTTTGATATGATTCGAGTTATGAGATGGATTTATGTAAATTTGAGATTCAAATCCTGTAAAATTGGCCCTTTATATTCATGTTAAAGGTTATGTGGTGGAAATACGAGTCTTATGATATTAATTTCATTGGTTAGAACCAAGTTTTGAAGCTCAAACATAATCTGGAAAAACCCAAAATTTGACCTATCAGCTCGAGCGTACCCTGTTTTACTAGACTCCTCGCTCGAGCGTCAAAAGTCTCACTCGAGCGTAATTTGCAAGCAACCAGTATTTTTCAGACCAAAGAGGTCCACTCGAGTGGCCGAAGCTATGCTCGAGCGGAGAACCCTATTTCAGAAATTTTAAAAAGTTGTTCTATACTTCGTTTTCCGTTCCCTTTCTTTCCAAAGCACTCGTAGGCATGCATTAACCATTGTAAATGAATTAAAGAACATAAAAGAAGCCTAAGAATGTTAAACAAGTTAAAGAACGGAATGAATTGTATTGTGACTCAATTTCTATGTGTATTATGAATTGTATAGGGTCAACTACAAGAGTGAACCAGGCATTTGAACACTGTTAGTAATAACTTAGTAAAGCTATGTTCAAGTTAAATTATTTTTAGTATATGAAATAAGATCTGTTGAATAAAATGCCATGTTTTATACTATGAATGACTGTCCAACAATAACAAGCATTTACGTGATAGTATGCTATGATTCAAGTATGTTACAAGTTCCTGGTACCGGAGGTTCCTTATGGAACTAACAAGCTATCTGTACTCGGCTGGAGGTTCCTAGGTGGAACTGACAAGTTTACAAGTTCCCAGTCCGGAGGTTTCTTTACGGAACTGATAAGTTATCCTTACCTGGCCGGAGGTTCTTCCATAGAACTAACAAGTACGAGACTCTTTGTATGTGATTAGTAGCGCTAACGGATATACTGTGTAACATTAAGCATGAACTCTATTTTCTGTATGTGATTTGAATAAGAATATGAATATGAATCCGTTTCTGACGGAAATCTGAATATGCATAAGACTCTATGACGGACATCATTCATTAAAACTCTTTACTTTGTTATTATTCACTGGATTCCAACTCACCGTATTATTTACGTATGTAGGTCGTTAGTAGCGTGACCAGGCCTAGAGCTTCTGCCTGGACTTTGTTTTGCCTCCCGTAAAGGTTCCGGATATGTCTAGTGGTTATGGCTAAGTACATAAAGTTCAAGTTTTGTTTTCTTGTTTGGTTAAACAAGGCTTTGTTTATTTTTTAAATAGGGCTACGTCCCTCTTTGTCTACTCTATATATATATATATGATGACGTAAGAATGATGTATATATATATATGAAAAGTTTCAAATTTTTCTGTCTCATATAAGTGCACAGCTCAATGGATGTTGTATGTTTATTATTTGCTTCCGTTAGCCCCTAATATTATGTCAATATGTCAATATGTCTCAAAGGCCTTCGGTAATCCCAGGATTACTGGCCGGTTACGATGCTAAACCTATAGGGGCGGGTTTGGGTCGTGACAACTATGGACGATAATATCCATCTTTCAAATGCCATCAAGTGAATGGGAGAGACAGCCACATAGTGTTGTTTGACAGTAATCAATCGTCTGTGCTTGCCATACAAAATGATTCACAAAATTACCCACACAGAGAGGAGGCAGCTATTTTGCTTTGGCAAATCACAAATATTAGAAGCTTACATAACAGATCTCCCATTAATCATCAATCACAGAATCAATGAGAATATCAATGACTAGAATGAAAAAACACAAATCAAATAAAAAAGTTAAAAAAGAGACTAACAATTCTAATAACTGTTTTTTCTTTAACTAGATTGGAAGAAGAACAAGATCTAACCTATTGTTTTGAGCTGCGCATGCACTGTCTGTCTGTGTGTAGAATAGAATCTGGAGTAAGGATCCTCGGCCGCCCTTTCCTGCGGCCCTACCTGCCGCCCTCTCCAAAACGACGTCGTTTTGGCTTGGTTTTTTGGCTTTCATATTCCTCTATAATCTCATATGTTTTGTGTTTAGCCCTAACAGAAACAAAGACGAGAGAGAAAGACGCTAGATGAAGAGAGAGAGAGAGAGAGAGGCATAGAGAAACGAACTAAGAGAGATGGTGGAGGGACACGATGGCAACGGTGACGGCGACGGCGGAGGACAGAGGATGGCGAAGGGACACAACACAACGGCAAGGCAAGATTGTGGCCATGACGAGGTCCATTTCATCATTTCAGATTTTTCTTGCTAATATATACATGTATACGTATATAACTAGGTCTATCTGTGTTGTGAAATTCCTAATTTTTGTATTCCTATTTCTGAAATGTTTGTGTTGTCTGTGTTTCTAAGATTAATTCCATATATACATATTAAAGAATGTTGTGTCTTCTGTAAGCTATATTTGTGGATTAGTTGTGTCTTCTTCTGCCGTATATTCATGTTTGATTTAGTATGTTTGATCATTAAATACTAATGATCAGTTAAGAGATTCTTTTGTGGATTAGTATGTTTAGTAGTAATCCAATTTTAGTTTTTATCATAGTTCTATACATGTTTAGTAGTCTGCTTTGAAAAAAATGAGTTTGCAAAGCGTGCAGCACTTTTGTGTTTGTGTAGCACTTTTTGCTAAAATTTCTATTTTACATTTTGGGAGCATTTCTTGTGATTTGTATTACATTTTGTGTTGCAAACCAACTGTTTGATAAATTTCTTGAGAGATAATCTTGATATACAATGATATTGAAGAATTTTTGTTGAGGATAGGCCTTCTAAATACACAAGAGTTGGGGAAATCATGACTGATCAGGTTATTCCTGTTACCTCAAGATATACATTTTCTTTTCTTATATATGTGTGTGTTGTGAAATCATGACTGATCAGGTTATTCCTATTACCTCAAGATATACATTTTCTTTTCTTATATGTGTGTGTGTGTGTGTGTGTGTGTGTGTGTGAAGATCTGACCAGTTTCATATTCTTAATCGAACAGCACAAGTTGATAACAGTGACATCCGATACAAACATTCTTCAAGCAATACAGCTCATGACAGGTAAAATTTATCCTATTGAATTGTGATGTGAAAAGAAAAACCGTATACTATTGAGTTTTGGGGGGGGGGGGGGGGGGAAATGAAATTAATTTTTGTTGTTTGCAGAGAATCACATACGGCATGTTCCAGTGATAGATGGAAAGATTGTTGGAATGATTTCGATTGTAGATGTTGTCCGAGCGATGGTGGAGCAGCAAAGCGGGGAAGTGAATAAACTGAATGAGTTCATCAAAGGAGAATATTACTGCTAAAATCTTCACAGAAACTCTATTTGACAACATCCTTGTTTTCACATTTTCTTTTCCCCCCAAGCCTCTTTGGCTTGAATTTATAGGACAAAGTCGCAAACAGTTGGTCCTTTCCTCTAGTTAAATTTTTATTTGGGTGATCTTTTTATTTTCTTTCCCTTTGTAATTTTTATTCTCTTAAAAAAATAAGCACTGTTTTATTTACAGATCAAGTTTATTCTCTTAATTAATTTGTGAGTTTAATGTTTCCAGTTTCTTCAATTGATCGGGTGTGAATGTCTACGTAGTTTGCTATTTTAAATTTACATTCAACTTTCATATATAGTGATAGAGGAAGGGAGGGAAGAAGCGAATGAGTAGCAGAACTATCTGCTTGTGGAGCGAACTATTACTACATTTTCATCTTCCCAGGAATTGATTTTGGTTGTGTTTGGATTATAAATTTAAATTTGAATTTGAGTAAGAGGTTCAATTTTCAATTAAAGAAAGAAAAAGAAAAGAAAAAAACTATTTCTCCATATGAAATGGCTATTGAAAACAGATTCAATCACAATTTTTTTGAGAAAGTAAATGATAGCAAGTATTTGGTCTAACCAAGAATTTGGTCTACAAATGTGAGAAAGGAAATGGCTACAAATGTTATCAAGTATTTGGTCAATTGAAATTTTAAGTCAATTGAAAACCATTTCTTGATTGGATAGGCTTCATTATAAAAATTAATACTATACAAATACAAGTACATGAGACCCCATACAAATACAAAGAAAGAAAGATAGAAGGTTGTTTCGTACAAATAAAAACTACATAAGACCCCATACAAATACAAGCACCCCCAAAAGTGATCTCAGGTGTCAACTTCATCTCCTTTGGATGCAGTGTCTTCATTTTTTTTGGCCTATCGATGTTGTGCCTTGGTTTCTTTCTCCGGTCAGTGCTATTCCTTGAAGCCTCGAAAACATCTGTGCTCCTCCGAGGCTGCTCAATTACTTGCTTACCTGCTCAACTATTGTAATAAATCCATTTTTTAGAGGTCTGTATAATTTATCCAAATATAAAATAGTTCTATTGCTAATTAATTTCAACTATGCACTGTAGGCATTTGTATGTTTGGGCATGTGTTTGAGTTCACATATACTTAAAGAAAAACTGATCAAGGTTGTTTTTCATTGTCATTTACTAATTTGTGACATTAAAAGTCCATGATGTGGAGAAAAATTTAAGAGCCAAAGCGTGGAAGATGTACACTTACATTGTGCAGCTCTAGTTTGAAGGCTGCTAGTCCAACCATCAAAGTGGCACTGCCAAAGACAACAGAAGGTTTTTGTATGAGACAAACATCCCGTATCATTGTATTGCTTTTCTAAGGCGGAAAGACATTAAGAATGCTAATGATAAGCCAAGCCTCTCCAATGTAAAATTTCCCCCATTTTCTTTTTCTTTTATCATGGAGTCTAATGACAGGACATGAACACAGTTTTTATCATTTATACAGCACATAGAAATCAAATAAACAGAAAAATACAAAATCAAAAACCCATCATTCAAGTAAAATTCAAACTAGAACCCTCATAATCCCAAGGATAAAGCTAAGTACAATCATATATTGTGACAACCCTCACCTCTGATTAGCGTTAATTCATGATTAAGCATGATAAATAATTAATTAAGGTGAAACCCCAAATTGATTGCGTGAGTGTGTTGTTTAATTGCATTTCTATCTGTTTGTTACAGAATGATCTGTTCATGTTTTAATTTCAAATTGCGAATTGAAAGTCTTATCGGCGACCGATTCAGAAATTGATTTGTGTTATATGCTAATTAGGATTTATATGATTTTATGGTAGGTTTAATTAAAATTCGATTTGGAATGATTAAATTAGAATAAATAATGCTAAATTACTTTAGCTTGAGTTTATTACACATTTTCCATTGGTGGGCCTTTACAAGGCCATTTGTTTGATTTCATTTTGGTTGACACCATTCTCTATCTACCTTCCTGCCCAAAACATGAGAGAGAGGGAGAATAGGGGAAAATTTAATTCAACAAGTGTATTGCTTGAATTTGAGAGGAAATTGAAGGAGTTTTGGAGATTAGTTCATCTAGCTCAAGATTTTAGTGTCCTATGCCCATTTGAACATCTAAGGTAAGGAAACCAAGTCCCTAGTCTTGAATTTAAGTTGAATCACTTATGATTTCAAGTGAATTAAATTATGAGATATGAGATTTAAGCTTAAGAAACATTAATTCATGCATGCATGTCTATATCATGGAGTTTGAAGTTATTTTGCATGAAGTTCTTCCATGCATGTTCATATTATAGTTGTAATCTAAGAATTCATCATGTTTTTGGAAAGAATGGCTCATTTGATCATGTGTTAGAAGCAATGAATTCAAATAAACACATGCATGGCATAATTACACCATGTTCTTTTATTTGAAGTTGTATTGGTGTTCAATTGTCATACTTTTGGGCTTTGATTTTATGAAATGATCTTTAAAACATATTGTATCATGAGTTTCTAAGTGTTTCCAGAAATTTGGCCCAAAGGATGAGTTTTAGAATGTTTGATTCATGGTTTGAAGCTTGGGAGCAAATCTGGAAAACCCAGAATTTGGCTTCCTCGCTCGAGCGAAGGATTCCACACTCGAGCGACCACCTTTGTTTTCAGAATTCCGCTCAAGCGACGGAATGCTGGCTCGAGCGTAAATTGCAAGCTCTCAGGTTTTTGCGTGTGCAAATGCACACTCGAGCGACGAGACCTATGCTCGAGCGAGCATCGAGCGAAGAATTTCAGCAACCAGTACTTTTCACATTTTTGCAGATTGCTCGAGCGAGGGAGTCTACACTCGAGCGACCTCTCCCATTTGGTAAGCTCGCTCGAGCGAAGTAGTCTACGCTCGAGCGAGACCCCTGTTTTCAGCAAGTTTTGGAAAAAGTTTTTAAGTACATTTTTGCATCCTCGTTTCATCCTAGGCATTCCTAGGCCATGTTTAAGGCATCATAATGAGGATAATGTTATAGAGCCACACCAAGTCAAGTTAGGGGCTAAGTTATTAACCCCGAGTGTATAATTTAGTGTGTGTTCGTTCTGCAACTATGTAGGGTTGGCACCCAAGGACGCTAATTAGCCTGCCTATAGGCCAGTAATCTGTAAGTAACAATGTTGTAAAGCTATGTTTAATTACAATTATTTTTTGAACAATTGACTGTATTGTTTTCTGAAATGACATTGTTTACTGAATGAATGTTTGTCCTATTTTATGAACTGTACCCGTGGCATCCATAGCAATTGACTATTACTACTACTGCTACTGTTACTGCTACTGTTACAGAGATCTCTGTCAGTTCCAATGATTGGAACTACTACTGTTTACTGTTTTGATGGCCATCAACTGACTGTTCGGTCTATTAAGACTTACTGTACTGTTCTGCTATTGGATGTACCACGTATGACTGTTATGGTTTCTAAACGACTATTATGACATGAACTATGAGTCACTGATTGAATAACTGATCTACAGATGCAATTGACTGTTTTAATTACTGAAAGGACATTCATTCTTAACCCCTTTACGCATTTATTATTCACTGGGCTTTAGCTCACAGTTTATATATGTATGTAAGTGGCCAGGCACCGGACCAAAGCTAGAAACGTCGAGTTAAGCTCATGTTTTGTCCAGCCAACCGTTGTGCCTCATTTCAAGGTTCCAAGTATGCTCGAGCCAAGGCTGTTTTTGGGGTGTTTCGAATTCACCCTTTTGTCTCTGTTATGTATCGAATGTTTAAGACTTGGTTGTACAGTTATGGTGAAGGGATTGGATCCCTAACCTACATATTATGTGTATCTGATATGTATATATATATATGGTTATGAATGTGGATTAGTCCATAAAAGTTTTTCCCATTCAGGTTTTCACAGCTCATTGGACACCTTGTTATTACTGTTTGGCTTCCGCTAGCCCCTTTTATATTGTATTACTGTTATTATTGTCATTCAGGCCTTCGGTAATCACAGATTACTGGCCGGTTACGATGCTAAACCATTAGGGGCGGGTTTGGGTCGTGACAGATATTCAAGAAGAAAATGAATAGACATTCATATCCACTAAATGAAAACCATTCTAAACCTACTTTGTGATAGCCATGGTTATCAGAATCCCGATCCGGATCTTACAATCCATTTGAGTATAATCGATCCGGATCGTGTAAAAAATTCCTTATAGGTAGGATTTTTCGGTCCTAGTAATGGAATCTTATAGGATCTTGGGATCCCGATCTGAATCTGATCCTATACGATCCAATTTACAAGCCTTGTTTTGTATTGTTTGACATATTTTATTGTAAATTTTATATTTGTTGTCTAAATACCAATTTATGTGATCAAAATAAATAATAAAAATTAAGTAGTTTGAATAAAATAAACTAAGAAAAACAAATTAGGAAACAAACATTCAAATATTGTGGTAATTTAAGAAAATTAACTAGTTAGAAAAACAAACTTAGCTTTAGTAGAGTCTAAAGAGGGTAAAATGATTGCAACTTTATCCCAATTTTTGGAGAGATTATTTTTGTGGCTGGAATCCGCTCCACCAGGGATGCTAACGACAAACCTTATCATTCGGTTAAGCTGCTCTTTTGAGTTCTTAATCTATTTTCATATCCAACTTTGTTAAATATTTTTTCTTCACTTTTTATGCATTATTATAGATTATAAAGTATTTTGTTATAGAATTCTTCTTCTTCTTCATCTTCTTTTTTGATGAAATACAAAACTTTTACCATCGAATTTTCTATTGTATAATATTATATGTACATTTTACATAGAGTATTATATTTTTCACAATATCTTCACTTCTTTTTAATAGAATATAGGCTCATTTTGTGTATACTTTTTAAGAAATATTTATTTAAATTAAATTATTATGTAATTTGTCTTTTTTGGTAGGATCTTACGATTCTCGATCCGATTCTACGATCCGATCCGATCCGATAAACACCTCCAACGATCCAATGTAGGATCCCGATTTTAACAACCTTGATTGGTAGCCCACCTCTGACCGACTGACGCGACCAAGGACCAAGGCTACAGAGTTAATTACCTCGGCCCAAGACTATATTTATCTTAGTCCATTCCAAAAGACTTATTTAGCTCGGCCCAATTTATGCATAAATTACCCTCTCAACTCCATAGAAAGACATTAACATTGAGAGATAATCTAGAGGACACACAAGAGAGATATTAAAGTAGACTAGGTGTGAGGATCAAGGGAAATCGATGAGAGAGAGAGAGAGAGAAAGAGAGATGTGGAGAACGAACATTGCGATCCCCAAACAAAACAAGGACCAAGGCTACAGAGTTAATTACCTCGGCCCAAGACTATATTTATCTTAGTCCATTCCAAAAGACTTATTTAGCTCGGCCCAATTTATGCATAAATTACCCTCTCAACTCCATAGAAAGACATTAACATTGAGAGATAATCTAGAGGACACACAAGAGAGATATTAAAGTAGACTAGGTGTGAGGATCAAGGGAAATCGATGAGAGAGAGAGAGAGAGAGAAAGAGAGATGTGGAGAACGAACATTGCGATCCCCAAACAAAACTATGTGCGGATAAAGAAGAGTGTTTTCTGACACGGCGGATTTGAGTTAGTTAGACCCCACTTTTGCCAGCTCAACCTATCTGTTTATTCTGTTTTTGGTACTTTTTTTAATTTTTATATTTTTTTGGTTCCCAAAAATTTTTGGAAAAAATTCTCTACAAATAAATTTTCAAAAGTAATCAAACCAAACAAATTTTCTCAAAAAAATTTCCCAAAACTTGTTTGGTTTATAAGTTTTCCAAACAAATCTCTCTCTCATACACATCAAATCAATTAATTTTTCCAAAACTCTCTCAAAATAATTTTTCAAAACATCTTTTGAAAAAAAACCAAACCAAACAAATTTTCGTACTTTTTATCTCAAAACATGTTTCTCAAATACAAACCAAACAAGCCCTTCATCTTTTTCTCCCACTTACGTGTTTTCACACTTTACAGTAGTGTTCGCATATTTAAAAGCAAAAAGTTGGGAATCAGGGAATCAGATTTATCGTCTCAGAATATACGTATAATCATTTTGTGTAATGATGATTAAATTGTTGACAAAGCTCGTTTGATAAGTGGCCTTTTTTTTTTGATTTTTAACTAAATTAATTATAAAAAAATAAAACAGATTAAATAATATAAAATGTCATAATTATTTTATTTTTTAAAAAAAAAGTTAAAAAAAATTAATCCAAATAAACTTTTTAGCCCCAAGTCAAAAAGCCAATATATTTTTCAAACGAAGCCCAAAAAAAATTAGGGTCCCAAAAATTTAGGATCTAGAATTACTCAAAATTTGGTGTATGTGGTGAAAATTGAATTGATGAAATGTGAGATCCAAATACAAGCCTAGCTTGGGATGCCCATTTGGGTTAAAATAGCTATATAGGACAAAATAGACTATTTTGGCGAAATAGGACAAAATGTCACATTCAACTTATAATTATTTCATTTTTTCTCTTACAAAAGTAAAAAAAGCCAAAATGCTTATCCCAAACAAAGCTTTTTAGCCTCAGACTAAAATAGTCAAAAAGCCAACTCACATTTCAAACGAACCCACAAAAGCCCTGTTTGGCATGATGGTTTTGGGTTAAAATAGTCACAAAATGACATAATAAGTTAAAAAATCAATAAGACCAAATGTCACATCGAAACTATAATCATTTTATTTTTTTCTCTCACAAAAGTCAAATAAGCTAAAAAATTTATCCTAAACGAGACTTTTTAGCTCTAGGCTAAAAAAGTCAAAAAGTCAAAAAATTAACCCACATCCCAAATAAAGGCAAAATGAATCTAACTTATTGATGTAAAATTCTAAATAATTTCTAAATTTTTATGTTTGAATTCATAGTATTACTGAATTAATAAAGGATGAAATTTATGAATAAAATAAAAAATAAATTTGAATCATTAAAAAAAATTATGAAGTATGCATTCGAAATACAAAATAACAGATGTTTTATATAGTGCATTTTGCTCTTATTTTTCACATTGTTTTGTCGTGTTCTGTTCACCATCTCATATTAATATTTCATTGATAATATGAATAGACATTCTCTCAATTGTAAAATCTGAAACTCTATTATTATGTTAAAATCTTTAGGATTCATTATGCATTCTGTTTTGATAATTCAAATTATTTATTATGTAAACATTTTTGTGTTTATCATTATTGGAAAAAAATTTAGGTCGTTATGATAATCATAACATTTTTATTTCTTCTTATTGTATTTATAGTTATGAAATTATACATTTAGTGATGAATTATTATCTTATTGAGATTAAGTTTTTTATCTAAAAAAATAAACATTTTGAGACCAAATTATTTTATCTCTAAAATTACATTTATTAACAACATTTTTAAAAATTTCTCCCTAATTTTTTTTAGAACTTTTTTGGGACAATCTTTTAATGATTATTCTTGCGACGATAAAAATTGATCTCTAAATATTTTAATAATAAAATTTTCACTTTTAAAGACAATTAGAGAAATATGTACGTCTAAATATTAGTAAGAATTATTATTATGTTAGAATATTAAGAGTTGGGTATTGGAGTGTTATATATAACTTTGTAATTTGATCATTTGAAATATGAAAAATACAATAGTT